TTGCTAGAATGATCCTGTGTTCGGGCGAGGTTTTAGACATTGTTTTGTGGAAGAAAGGACGTATTAAAGCTAGAAGGTGATGAAGGTGGGAAAAGTGGCCCGGTCACTGATGGTGGCCCACTCACTGATGAACCACGTTAACTTAAAGGTTATTAGTAGAAAGTAAAAGGATTAATCTAGCTTTTATAGTTAATACTAATTAAGTCTCATAATATAAGGCTAGCAGCCTTAGTTCTATAATATTTAGATAGAAGTAAAGAAGCTTTATATTTCTACTAAATATCTTATTAAGTGTTATAAGTTTTTAAAACGTATTATTACTTATTAACTAGAAAATAGTTTTATAAATAAAAGAACAATATATATATAACGGTTTATCTTGTGATATGTCTTCTACCTTATGTAGCCCCCTTAGTGAGCCTTACTGAGGGAGCAGGTTATATGACTAGCATAGGCCTCGTGAGCTTATGATTTAAGGACGCTTAGGAGGGTAACTTCCTCCTAAGCAAGACACGCCTTCTTATAAACTCCTCAGTCTCTTCTAATTACTAGCTCTTAGTAATATATTTTTTAAAGCTTTAATCTTAATATAAGTATAAATAGTATTATATTTTATCATAATAATATTTAACTTATTACTTTTTTAAGAAACTTTAAATAAAATATTTATATATTTATTATAATTAAAATAGAAATACTAATTATAGTATCTTAAGTTGAAGAGTATTTATAAAAATAAAGCTCTTAATTATAAAAATTATTAGTAATATATTTAAAGTATTTTATTTTATTATTTTTATTAAACTTAATTATTATACTTATTATTATTAAGAAAAGTAATATAAACTTTAAAGAAATATTAACCTATAAAAAGAGAAAAAGAACTAAAGAGATATATTATTCTTTTTATTATATTAAGTAAGGTTAGTATTATTATTACTATTTTAATAAAATTTAGTTTTAATAAAAGTATATAGGATATATTTCAGAGAAATATTAATAAAATATCTTAATCGAATAAGAAAAATACTTCTAATACTTATAAAAAGCTTATTGTTATTTTCCTCTTTAAAAAGGTTTTTATTTTCTTAAACTTTAATTAATTAATTTATATTTCTAAGTAAAAACTTGAGTTAATTTTTTTTTAACATAAAAATAACTTTAATTTTATATTACTTGAAGATATCAAGATTTTTAGTTACAAAAACAATAATAATAATAAAGAAATTACTCTTTTTATTTTTATATTTCTTATTAATAAGAATAAACTACTTAAAAATAACTTTTATTTTTTTATTCTATTTATAAATATAAATAAGCTTTATAATAATATAATTTTAAAAAATGAAAGTAATACTTTTAGTAAGTTTATTCAAAATAATATTAAAAGTATATTAATAAGAACATTAATATAAATAAATAGATATAAAATAATTTTTATAAACTTCTTTAATAAAATTTAAAATTATAATAAGAACTAATAAATAGTAATAAAAATATTAGATATAAAATACTTATTAAGTTTATTAGAAAGCTCTTAAGTAATATTAGGTATATAAGTAGTTTAATCTCTTAAGAGAATATTTTATTTAGCTTAAAATTAAAAATAATATTTATAAGTAGAAAAATAAATTATTTTAAATAGCTGTATAATAATAATTTATAAAATATTATTTAGTATAATATATCAAATTATAAAAGTTATTATAATATTATAAATAAAAAAGTAAAACCTTATAAAGATATAAAAAGTTATAAAAAAAAGAAAAATCTTATATATACTTCAAGAAAGATCTTCTACTTTATTCACTTTTTAATTAGTTAAGTATTTTTATCCATAAGTATATATATAAATTAATATATTTTATATATTTATAAAACTAAGTAAATATATTATAAATTAAAAATGCTTATTAAGGTCTTTTCACTTATATTATAGAGAATAAGCTCTTAAACTATTCTTTTTCAAAAAATACTTTTAATTTTTTTATATATAATTAGTTTTTATATAATATTTTTAATTTATAAGTATTTTTATATATATAAAATACTTTTAGTTATTTTTAGAGTTAAAGAGGTATATAATAGTTTATTTTATAATATATCTTCTACTTTATATAGCTCTTTTAGTAAAGTTTACCAAAAGATTAGGTTATATAACTAATATAAGCTTTATAAACTTATAATTTAAGGATACTTAGGAGGGCAACTTCCTCTTAAGTAATATATACTTTTTTTATAAAATCTTTAGTCTGTTCTAATTACTAGCTCTTAGTAGTTTATAATTTTAAATTATAACTTTATACTAATTAAAGAAGTTTTAGATTAATATTAAGTTAAACTTAAAACTTTTTTTAGTAAACTTTAATAAGTTTAATTTTTAACCTTTTTAACAACTTTAAGTGATTAGCTTTCTAAAACTTTATAAAACACATTATAATAAAGCTTATACTTTAGTTAGCTTAAAAACTCTTAGCTATTTCTTTAATAATAAGTAAAATTACTAAAAACCTAATAATATTAAACTATATAATAAATACTACTAAAGCTAAATCTTTAGCTTTTATTAATAACTTTAGCTAGCTATTTTCTTTAAGTAGTATAAAGATATTATAGTTGATTTAAAAAGTTTTTAGATATTTCTTTACTATTATATAAGATATTCTATAGCTCTTAGTAATAGCTTAAATTATTAGTACTATAGATAAAAGCTTACTAAAATAGCTAAAGTAAAAAGCTTAATATTATATAGTATATAATATTTATATAGCTTATTTAATAAGTATCAAATTAATATTACTTTAGTAAAGCATTTTAATAACTAGAATTAAAAAAAGTAATTTGAAAAAGTATAATTTTAAGTTATAATATAGTTTTAAAAAAGACGTTTTTTAGTACACAAAACGAGAAAAACATAACTTTTATATAACTAGCTAGAAACCCCCTTTTTTGCATAGAAACCCTAGTTTTTCGCCCCCTATATAAGTAGGGGAAGTTTTGCGCTTGACGTGGCTAACTAACGCCCCCAGGTAGACAAAAAAAAAAAAGCGCGCCAACGTGATCTACAAGCTGGTCACCTTACCTTTTTACTAAGCCGCATTCTGTACAAAAACTAATGCAAGTGGTTCCCCCGCATTTCCCCGCAGGAGACGTGCTTTTCACCAAGCGGCCAGAAGACACCACGAAGAGAGGGCGGTGAATAAATAAGGCGGCTGGGAGTGCTTTCTCTAACAAACGGGGCTGAGGCTTGACTCAAGGACCCTGGGCTAGCGGCCCCGGCGTTCTAAATCGCTGCCTGCATCGTCGTACAGGATTGATTAATTGACTTTTGAATTGCGCAATAACATGTGTGTCACCTGAAAAGTCCTTCGGTAACGCTCGCAGCGCCATCGTTATCGATACCGCCACTGATAGTGCCATGTGCCCCCAGGCATGTGCCCTGTTTGTGTTGCCCAGGCTGTTATTTTAGCGTCGCGTCTATCAATTGCTGACAGACTTTCTCACTTTGATAGACGTAAGACGTGAGGGACACGGTGACTTTCCAGAACTCGTTAACTGAGGCCGCCAGATCCCTGATTCAACCTACGAACCCCTCACGAACCACCTTCACGTGTCGCTGTTGGTCCACCGCGAAAATGGGCAAGTGACCAAAATATAGCGCCAAGTCCAACGCTATCTGCATTATGCCAAGCCGTTATCAACCAGTTATCTACCTCTCTCACTATTGCCTGGTGTCGAGGACGATCTAGATCATCTTAGACCACTCGCCCTCGCATCCTCTATGCCAACGTCTGTACCGACTGGCTGGAACCAAATCGTCGACGGCGCTGTTTCTTGTTCATAAAGGAAGCTGCCCGCCGATCCTCCTCTGGTGCTACCACTCAGCAGAAAGGTTGCACGACTTTCGCGACATCGAGGCACGGCCTTGTGATCCCGATCGGCTTCCGGTACAAAGAATCCGTCGTCCTCCCCGAAAGCCCGCGCTGAACGTCCTGATCATTGTTTCATTCGCAACCTGAACAAGAACAGTGGTGCCGAAGCCAACCATCATGTCGTCCGTGACCTCGCTGTTGTCGGCGACGGCAACTTCGGCGGCTGCTCCGACGTCCACCGGCGGAAATAGAGCTGCTCCTCAGGGTGGTGTCATCGAAGGCGCGAACCCTTCGGTGTACAATCCGAAGGATCCCATCACGATGTTCATCATTCAGGTAGGTGGACTAGCTCTTCAGACCCGCCAGTTTGTTCGAAAGCATGCTTGGACGTCTGACTGACTGTCGCTCTGTGCAGGCTGGGTTGATCATCATTGTCTGCCATCTCCTTCATTGGCCACTCTCCAAGATCCGACAACCTCGAGTCATCGCCGAGGTCATTGGTGGCATTGTTCTCGGTCCATCGGTCATGGGACGCATCCCCGGCTTCCGCAACGCCATCTTTCCAACCGAGTCAATCCCAAACCTCACCCTCGTTGCCAATGTCGGACTGGTGCTCTATCTCTTTCTCATCGGCCTTGAAACCGATGTTCGCTTCCTAGTCAGCAATTGGCGGATTGCCACCTCGGTCGCGTTCGCTGGGTTGGCCCTCCCGTTTGCTCTAGGTTGCGCTCTCGCATGGGGCCTGTATAATCAATTCTCCGGGGATGAGGGCCTCGTCCACATCAATTTTAGTGTGTACATGTTGTTTATTGGCGTTGCAATCGCCATCACGGTATTCCGGCTCCATTCCATGGGCAAAACCCAACTTGAATCTGACTCAAGCTCACGCGCCGAATCTAGGCCTTCCCCGTTTTGTGTCGAATCCTGACGGAGCTGAAGCTTCTTGATACGAAGGTTGGTGTCATTGTGCTTTCGGCTGGCGTAGCCAATGACGTAGTTGGTACGTTGTCCCGGTATTCACTACTTGGTGTGAACTCTTGATCTAACCTGCCCGATTTAAAGGTTGGATCTTGCTTGCTCTCTGTGTCGCTCTCGCCAATGCAGGCACTGGTCTATCTGCTTTGTGGATTCTGTTGGCGTGCATCGGCTACATGCTCTTTCTGCTATTTGCCGTCAAGCCGACCATCACATGGCTTTTGCGTCGATCGGGTAATATCGAAAATGGGCCTTCCCAGGGCATGATCTCGCTCATTTTGTTGATCGCACTTACTTCGGCATTCTTCACGGGCATCATTGGTGTTCACGCTATCTTCGGTGGCTTCATGGTTGGCCTCATTCTTCCTCGTGAAAACGGCTTTGCCATCAAAGTCACCGAAAAGTTGGAGGATTTGATCGGCGCATTATTCCTGCCTCTATACTTTACACTGTCCGGCCTCAACACCAACTTGGGACTGCTGAATTCTGGCATCACATGGGGCTACGTCTTTGCCGTTACATTCACCGCGTTCTTCACCAAAGTCATTGGTGCCACTCTTGCTGCCAAGTTAAACGGAATGGTCTGGCGGGAATCCTTCTCCATTGGAGCCTTGATGAGTTGTAAGGGACTGGTTGAGCTGATTGTGTTGGTTAGTATTACCTTTGCCCGCGCGAGCTGCGCGTGAGGTGACTGTCGATATTAGGAGCTAAGACTGACTGACGTACTAGAACATCGGCTTGCAAGCCAAGATCCTGAGCACACGCACTTTTACCATCTTCGTCGTTATGGCTTTGCTGACAACTTTCGTCACAACGCCCCTCACATCGGTCCTATACCCTCCGTGGTATCAGAAGAAGATCGAAGCTTGGAGGCGCGGGGAGATTGACTGGGATACTGGTGATCTTCATCCCGAATACAATACGGGCAACGACACAGACTCCGCCAAACATGCTAGCACCCGCGTCCGACGCCTCTTGGTATACCTTCGGCTGGACAACATGCCGGCAATGCTGAACTTGGTGTCGTTATTCGGAAAGCAATCTGCATCTAACAACCAATACGTGGCACAGGATGAGAAGGGCGGCGTCCACTCAGAGACAGCCAACCTGCAGGCTTCTCCCAACACTCAGGCTGTGCGAGCTCATGGATTTCGTCTACTGCATCTTACTGACCGCGACTCATCTGTGATGACAGTGTCGCAAGTAGCCGAGTGGAGCCAAAATGACCCGGTGGTCAACATCTTCCGTACAGTCGGCCAGTTTCTCAAGGTCGCCGTGTCTGGCGAAGTGTCAATCATGCCCGAGGCACGCTTTGCCGAAGCGCTGCTCTCCAAGTCGTCGGATATTTCATCGGACCTTCTCCTGGTTCCTTGGAGCGAGAGCGGTAGTCTGGTCGACTCTCAAGTTTCACCCGCAGATGGTGCCGCAAACAAATTTGCAACGGCATACACATCATTCGCCAAATCAATACTTGCTTCTTCTGAGCATAACATCGGACTTTTCTTCTCTCACGATGGCTCTCGGCCAACAACCTCATCCGGCGAGAAGGCCAAGCTTATGCGAACTTACTCGTTTAGCGACATTCACCACGATATTCCATCGATTCCTGTTACGAACAAGTCCCATCACATCTTCATGCCTTACTTCGGTGGCCGCGATGATAAACTAGCCCTCATCCTAGTTTTGCAGCTCTGCGAGAAGCAGAGCGCCACAGCCACTGTTGTGCACTTCGCTTCATCGGCCGAAGCTGACCAGGATGCCAGTGACTTCTTCGGCTTCATTTCGACACACGCCCCAGCTGCCACAGGGTCCCGAGTAAAATTTGAGGTTTCATCTGCCAGCAATCCCATCGAGGCTGCCGTAAGCCAGGCTACCTCCGCCATTCGGGCTGACTCACGGGGCATTGCTTGGCATAACCTCATCGTCCTTGGTCGACGTACTTCTGCTTTGTCCAAGGAGGGTAAAAACTCTGTTAAAGTATCGACCGAGGCCAGAGAGTGTTTGGGTTCGGCGGCTGCGGCCCTCATTTCGTCCGAGGTGAAAGCAGATATGTTGGTTGTACAAGCTAAAGCCGGGTCGGCGTGATTGTTGAGGAGCATAGTCAGCGAATAGTAATGGAACATTGTGTTTTTCACATAAGTCACGGGCGCGTTGCAATGCCAAGGATTCGCTTGTGCAGTGTACCAGTTCAGCATTTGACATTGTGTATGTTGCCGCTGAGACGATGTACAGCGGAATGATCCACTAGCCACTTGCGGTACAGGAATGAAGTGAAATGTGGTACTCAGACGCGTTTGGCAGTTGCACATTATGCTCCAGTAATGTTTTCTATAGCTCAATTGACGCAGCAGCTCTGGGAACCAATGTTAGTCCTGCGGGAAGGACTGGTGTTTAGGATGCTAAATGCTGAATGCAGACGCAAATGTGAAGAGTGTAGTGAAGTCTGGTGCAATGCAGGGTAGACGCCTGCAGGGCGAGTAACTTAGGATCACAACAATAATAGCATGTTGTCAGGAATTGCCATTATTTCTCATGCAACATGATATTTCCTAATTGACATTGCTGTTGTAAATTCGATGGGAAAATAGGGCTGCCCTCACCGATTCCAACACCAAAGGAGTGGGCTCAGAGGCACTCCGAAACAAAGCACTTACGTTGAGAACACCTACAAACAGTAGCAGAGAGTAATCATCAGTATATCGACGCCAAAACACCAATATGGTATATCACCGACGTCTGCGTCCACTGCCACCCCCACTTCCGCCGTAGCTATTGGCACTGTTGACCGCGGGCTGCATCACAAAGTTACGTATGCCCATCTCGCATGCCTGACGCAATGCTTGATGCCGCATGCCGCCTTTCATACCAGAAGCCTTATGGCCAACAAAGGTGTCCACCAAAGCAGCACCCAGGGCAGCTGTAGCTACTTTGGTGCCCTTCTCGCCAATCCAGGGCCCGGGCTCATTACGCATCTGATAGGCCGCTTGGCTGCCGACACGAAATGCGGTCTGGGCAGCTTCACCGAGAGCTGCGTACCCAACGGCAGACTTCGCCCGTGGCCGAGCTCCTCGCGCGGCGTTTCCTATGGCAGGATTCCTGGGCACAGACCGACCCCTTGTGGAGCGTTCCTGCCCTGGTTGGACAAAGCGGCCTGGCGAGTCATTTTTCCCACTACCGCGGCCCGGGGCCGCATGTTCTGCAGAGCGTCTATGGGGTTCGGTCTGGTAGTCTGAATGGCGAGCACGATATGTCGCGCTAGCCCTACGCGGAACAGCGCCGTCATCCTCTGCGTGACGTGACCTTCTCCTATCGCTGATCTGAGGCTCTGGATCGTAGTCGGCATAACGGGAGCGGCGCGTATTACTGGGACGCATTTCTGGGTCATAGTCAGGGTATTTGGCGCGTCTTGTCTCGCTTGTTCGGGGCGGGTGGTAGGCATGTTGTCGCTCACGACCCCGACGAGATGCGGGCGCGTATATGTCGAAGCCTTCTCGATCATTGGTGGGCCGATACGAGTCCCCCGCGGAGGGCCCATGGCTTCGCGCTCGCCGAGGGAGGGCTTCATCGTAGTCGTCGTGGTAGTTTTCCTTAGGAGCTTTGCGATCACGCCTTGTATCTACTGGAGCTATGTGGTCGTCCAGTACGATGTCCTTGCGCTCTTTGCGGTGCCTGCGGGTTTCGCGAGGATCTTTCTTTTGAGCATGTTCTCGCGGGTTATCATCGTAAGAGGCAACAGGTGCGGCTGCAGGCTCAGATCTGTGGCGACGGCGGGGTCCCGGGCTGCGACCCCTGGGAGGATATGGGTCGTCGTATGGGGCGGCTGCCGGACGGCGATACTGATATGCATGCGGCGGGTAAGAGCCATCCAAATCGATGTCGGGTGCTCGACGGTGAGGGCGTCCCATCCTTAGTCAGGATGGTCGGTTGTGTATCCAGCTGATGAGAGGAGGCGAGGGAGGTAAAGGATGGTCAGACAGGCAGATTTGTAGCGAGAATCCTAGTGGCTTTTGGGAGGATTGATTCTAGAGACGAGCATGGTGAGCAAAGAGACGAAGACTATGAGAGGGGGAAGAAACCTGGGGGTTGCGTATATAACAGTGCGTATATCACACGGGAGTCCATGTTGTCGTCGTTTGGGGGTGGGGAGGGGTGTGGAGTGGGTTTGGGTTGGTTGGTTGGGTCAGGATGATGGGTGCAAAAATGAAAAAGTCTGGGTGGATTGATGGAGAGACTAGTCTAGGCAGTGTCGACAGGCCGGAAGATGAAGCCAATACGATTGCAGGCACACATCCCTCTTCCCTCTGGTCTGAATGACTGCCTGTCTGTCATGGAAACCAGGCCTGACCAGCCAAAAACCGAGATCAGACGGGAGTTGTTTAACGAGGATAGCGTCACACGTAGGCGATCGGCTGACCGCTGTGGTTTTGCGGGGGTTTACGGGTCGGAGGACTCCACTGCAGTCGCGTGCGTTCGCTCAGTGGCTCGGGGTAATGTTGGGGCTCTTTCTTGCTTCCCACAAGTGCGGTCTTAGTCTTCCTTCGCCTCACCTGGTGGAACCAGTGAGGCAACCTCGAACTCTGCACCATACTTAGCCGTAGGTCGTTTGGTAATAAGTCTTTCTCCAAGGGCCCGGCCTGCCACGTCGTGTACTCTCCTCACCAATATTGAGTCTGACCTCTATTCCCTCCCCTTTTCTTCTTTTGCCCCTTCCTTCAATCTGATTTCATGGCTCTAGTCGCCCGTTATTCCAATATTCGTACCCAATTATCTAACCAAGCAAGCATAACTTGGCGTCTCAAGGTCACCTTGTTACATTATCACGACATGGGCTCCGGAGGAATTCGCTGCAGGGCGGTTGTGTTGTGGCGGCATCTGGAGTGCTGCAGAATTCGAAGAGCGGAACCTGCCCTGAACCAGCCTATCGTTGGTTGTGGCCGGCTGGAAACCCACATCTAGACCTCGACCCCCCGTGCCAACGACATGCAGGGTCCAACATATGACGTCACATGAGGTCAAGGTGCGTCTTCAAGCCACCATCCAGACAAATGCTGTTGGAGTTTGCAATCCCAAACGCATTGCATCCGCACACCTGCATCACGATCCAACATCATGAAGTCAGCTTGTCCACAAATTCATGGCTAATCTGCCTATCAAGCCCCCCTGAATCCCGAGGTGCAAGCAACTCCGTGGCATCACAGCACTTCCACTCCAGGTGTCGTTAGTTCAGCTTTCTACTAGTCGAACTACCCAACACCTGACTTTTCACTAGTCAGTGTCCTCGACACCGCTTGACTGCACACTCACAGCCAAACCAATGCATCCTGTAGGGAAGGAGAAAGAATGCAGGGCGGTCAACACTTACTTCGGCCCAGTCTGCATGGTACTGCTCCTTTGATCAGACGGTACTCCTGCTGAAGATTCGCTGCGGGTGACGTCGTGAGATTACTTGACATGGCAATGAAGTCCAATCGCTCAACCTGAGGCGGCACACTACCTAGGTAGGCCAGCATTCATCACATCACGCGACGTGAAAGGAAAGAGAGGGGCAATTGCATTTCGGGTGTCGCTTCAGATCGGCCCTGAATTCTGGGAGCGTTAGACGCCGAGTTGGACACGTCCCCCTTCAAAGGTTATCAAGTTCGGATGACATTCAACTACTTATCTGGCGAAGGCAGAATCCTTATGATGAGTACTGGCATGGATGGAAACCTCGATAATCGAGTCTAGAGGTGCAGGTGCTAGCATCGGCGTTCCTGAGACTCGCATGGGTTTGCTGGCCAACTTTCGACTTGACCAGAAGCCATCCGTTGCGCAAGACCAAACTTCCTACCTTAGATGCTATGCACAGGCCCTATTATTGAGCCAGGGCTAGCGCGGTGTGGGATGGATGATTACCTTAGCAAAGCAGGCCCCTGGGACTTTTCCTACTTTCCCGCCGCTGGCCTGGTTTGACTCAGCAATACCGCCCGCATTTCGATGCGTGCTGTGGTTTCTCTCTGAGCACAAAGTTCTAAAGAGATCGCCTATCCTTCCTGTGTCTGCGCGGCTATATTTCCTGCGTACTTAATCACTCCTGTTCAGAGACGATAGGAGCAGCGACGACGACGATTGAAGCACGACGATAAGTATAATAGCCACAGGAAAAGTAGTCGGCATAGCACAGGAGAAATAGGCGGTCCCGTTCTAAAATCTCACACAAGCCTCAAGCAAGTCGGACAAGGCATCGCCGAGGTTGGGTCGGTCCCAAACCCGTGGCACCGTTCCATATCACAAGCGGGCTGCGCACATGTGCCGTGGGAGCCAGGACCCTGATTAACATACAACGCTGCTGTTCAAAAATTGCCACTCCGGTCTTCGGGCATCGCGATTTTGAGACTCCAACATCAGCCAAACAGTCCTACGGTCGTGTACGAATACGTTATTCTGTGGGCGCTTTTCCTCCCGAGCTCTCGGATCCCGCGGTGCAATCCCGGCGAAGTGCGCTGGTTTCTGATTAGTGCTGGTCTGTCGTATTTTCAGCGATATCCAAAAAGAAAGCGGGGCCAAAGATAAGAGATGTCTCGTTTGGGTTATATGTCCCGTGCCGCGAAGTTGTCCTAGGATAACGGTCGGCTGTTGTCCATCTGAACATGCCGCCGTATTCTCCACAACCGAGAATGAGTTGGGTTGCCCACCTTGGACGAAGCTAGGCCAAGATGACAGTGCATTGACATGCCATCTGATCCCGAAAATTCGGTTCGTTCCTTCGCTTCGTGCATGAACCAAGTGAATGTCACTGAAAAGGATGGAATATCCACCCCGGAAACTTGGGACATTAGATCGAGGCTGCACTGTCTACGACGCTTCAAGGCTGGCCGTGAAACTCTGCAATGAACACACATTGTAGAACGCATCACGCTTAGCCGGTAGCCACTGGTGATGAAATACCTAGTCTGGAGCCGCGGCTAAAGAAAGTGTGGCCAGGCTTGCAGCGGTATGTGTCACGACAGCGAGTCAGTGACTATAACCCAATGGAATCTGCAAACACTTGTTCTTGCATACTCAGAACCGAGCGACGTCAGCAGGATCGCCAAAAAGCTATCTAT